GTTGTCCCATTTAATGTCAATCATCTTAACACTGACATATCGCTGACTCATGCATGGACATATTATAAATAATATATACAGCATATTTCCTTCCAAATAGGGTTTCTCACTGGCAAAACGCAAGTCCGGCGGACCTAGCCTCTGACTATCCTGCTACCGCATATGAATAAGATATCTCGAGTTGTTCAATGCATTATCTAAGGTGCACAGTGCTTCGATCAGGCTGCCTACTTGATGTTCGCGAATACCTACGCACTCTCCGGCTGCACTTTTGCATTTCGGTGCTCCCGCGGAAGTAATGTCTAATCGTGCGCTTCGTGTTGCCTCACGCGTAACTGTTAGCCGCGTGAAATTGTCAGTGACACGACGTCCGTTAATTACATTCACATGCTATCCTGTTCCTATATCTGTTTCTGTACAAAGACTTATGTTGATCAGAGAGACAGTCTGACAGAGACAGCTCTGACCAGAGAGACATATCTGACGGAGAGAGGCAGTCTGACGAGAGACAGTCTGACGGAGTAGAAGTCTGGAGGGAGACACGTTCTGACGGAGAGAAGTCTGACGGAGAGACAGGTCTGACGGAGAGACAGCCTGACGGAGAGACAGTCTGACGGAGAGACAGTCGACGGAGAGACAGTATGCACCTCTGACGGACGAGACAGCTGACGGAGAGCAGCTCTGACGCGAGACGACAGTCTACGGAGAGACAGGTCTGATCGGAGAGACAGGCCCCCTGCCTCGACGAGAGACATGTCTGACGGAGAGACAGTCTGACGTGAGAGACAGTCTACGGAGAGACAGTCTTGACGGCAGAGACATCTGACGGAGAGACAGTTTCTTGACGGAGAGACTAGTTCTGAGCGGACCCGAGACAGTCTGACGGAGAGACAGTCTGACGGAGGAGACAGTCTGACGGAGAGTACCAGTCTGACGGAGAGACAGTGCTGACGAGCAGACAGTCGACGGAGAGACGGTCTGACGGAGAGACGGTCTGACGGAGAGACGGTCTGACGGAGAGACAGTCTGACGGAGAGACAGTCTGACGGAGAGACAGATGTTTTTACCGTCAGTCTATTTTTCCGTAGGAAGGACCCACAAATAAGGATTCTAAATACGCAACGTGCTAGAAGAAGTAATTTACTACACATAGGATCAAGATTTAACCCATGTTCGTTAAGACGGTCGGAGATAAGGATTTTTTTCTGGAAGGTCGCCTATTGACGGCACACGAGTCTAATTTCTTTCTAACACCTTCTCTTTCGAAGCTAAGCGACATGCGTTAACTACATTTTCTCAAAAATGTATTCAAGAGTTTTCATTTGAGATATCTAACTTCATTGAATAGTATGGCATTGTCTTATTTTTATTAAACCCTCCGGAATTTGAAGTGTAGCTGAAGTTTCAGGACAGAAGTTTTAGGACAAATTAATAATACAATTGTATGTAACCTCTACGAACAACAAGAATCTGTGGAAATTCCACCAGTTTTCTGTTGGATTATTTCGAATATTAACGAATATCTTCATTAAAGAGTGAGAGGAACAGAAGAAAATTCTCAGTATTGCTGCATTCGGAGCGAATTTTTTTTGAATGCAAATGTATATATATGATATCTCAGAGTAAATTCTACAGACGCCTTGTTCATTTAGGCGAGATCAAGATGACACCCCCCCCCGTCGTAGTGAACATGTGATGAAAAATATCATATAACGAAGGTACACCTACGGTAGTTTACCCTTGATGGTTAAGGAACTCACCAATCGCCGGTATTCGGCAAGTACTACAAGAAATATCAATGAACGCGTCAGAACGTGACATGCTGAGCACTAACGCACGAAGTGTTGCCTAATGGTCAGGCGCAAATAACATTCGTATTTCGTAACTACATTTTGATAAAATTTCCCTTTTTATGTTCATTCGCAAAAAGTGAGTATCTGAACCTCGCACGTGCCTTGGGAGCATTTAACATTTATTCTGTATTCATCAACGCTAAATGCATTACTGGTCAAGTTCTATACGGCAAATGGTGGATTTTCGTTATGAAATTAATATAATTATTTATTTCATTTCCAAAAATTGTTAAAACTGAGGGTGATGTATGCAATCTATACATTTCTACATTAATCTGAATTATTAATACAGGTAGCAACGACCATTTTTAAAAGCTTTGATGACAAGAAATATTCCTTCCTGTGTATTAAAATCTATTTGCAATGATAAATTAACTACAGATTTTTGCTTGTGTCCTTTATCAGATCCCACGTAAGGGATTCGACATAATTTTACAAAAATCATGGAGAACAATTATTTCAATAAGTATTCACCAAATGGTAACCAATATATTAAATATCATTGACAAAATCAATATATTTATTTTTGATGCTAGGTGTAGTATGCAATTGTATAGAAACAATTATGTAGCAAAAAAGTGGTACTTGGCCTATGTATCGATTTTAATCGATTAATGTCATCTTGCAATCTGTAGTAAAATAATGTTCATAATTGTATATGAATATTTTGTGGTGAGCTGTCATCTGATAAATGTGATTACTATGTTCATTTTTGTAATAATAGACATCTGAATTCTTTGAAAATATGTTCCCAATTTTGTGTAAGTCATTTTGACAAAAACCACTGATCAAAAGGCATGGTAATGCTTCGAATTCCTAGCTTAATAATGAGAGGCTTACATGACTTCGTGGGTTGGATTTGCTTATTATAGAATTATTTTCTGTAATCTTAAAATCTTAGAGCTATAGGATATGATTCCCCATAATATGATGCCATGTCTCAGGCATGAACGAATATTCGTGAAAGATACACGAGAAATATGAACGGGAAGCATAATGAACGTAATTTTGAGTTCAATTCATTTAAATGGAGAATTATTTTGAGGTTTCACTGAATGTAGGGTCCCAAACATTTTATCGTACCATCAGTCAATGGCACATAGTTTATTTTTAAATTAGTATATAATTGTTTTTTTTTTGTAATGGAAACTCTATTAAACCGTTTTACCTTCTTTTACTATTTACTGTTTTACTAAAGAATATTCACATCATCCATAAAAATAACCGTTCTTCAGTTTCAAATCGTTGTGGACATATCGTTTTACGTATAGTAGGCAAATAATGCGTCCTAAAATCGAACCCTGCGGAATCCGATATGCAATTGGGAATGAATCGGAAAGGTCACTAAATAATGTTCCATCATTCTAGAATGGTATTTCTATTTTCTGAAATCGGTGTTTGAGGTACGAACATAACCAATCTAAAGTGACACCACGAATTCCATACGAGGATAATTTTGAAAGTAAAATGTTATGGTGATCAACGACGTCGAAAACCTTTTGAAAAATAGTTAGTAGTCCCTAGAACCTAAAATGTGAATTTTTTCTTGCCTTATGTAGTAAATTACTTTCTCCAGTGCGTATTGTCCTCAGAATCCAGGTTTGGTTGGTTCTAGAAACCAGTTTTTTCTCAAAACTCCTGCCCATCCGCTGTCTGTTCGGCCGTACGTCTGTCTGATCATTATTTTTACCACAATTGATATTTCCTCATCAATCTGACTGATGTCACGGCTCCAAGATCGTAAAAGCATGTTTTAATGTTTATGGCTACTTAACATGAGGCCTCTACATTTTCGAAATTTTCTCTGAAATATGTGTATTTGTTTTCTTTATATTGTTTTCTCAAGCATAGCAACGTACGCTTTTAAAAATGCCTCAAATTCGATGATCTTTTAACTATCAAAATTTCGAAAATTTCAAATGTTCAACTTTCCTTTTTAAAGCGTCGCAAAGTTTGTTATGCCGTCTCAGGAGGTTGGTGTAGTGATTACATGAAACCTTGGTAAAACGTGAAAAAAATCTTACGCATAAACTTACCTTGTAATTGACGGCTAAACCTACAAATATTGTAAGAAAATACGAGTCATTCTCGACCTACTGCTTTATTTAAACTCATTAGTAGATGATTGTTTCTTTTCGCTAAAACAACCTCTGTTGTTAGTACTATCATGATCTTCACTTAATTACGTAAGTACGATCAATAATCTTGTCACTTCTTTACATATTTCTTTGATGCTCACAACGCTTGGCCCTCCTTCTTCACACTCAACTGACTAGAGGAACAATTTACTTGTCTCATGACACTGTCTTCTGATATTTCAGAAATATTTCGACTCAGATGGACGACTGTGCCACTCATATGGAGAAGAATATGGTACCCAACTGTGATCCACTTTACTGGACATACTTCACTCGCTCCATGCTAGCCTTGCAAGCCATAGAATATGCTCTAATTAATATCGGAGGTAAGTAAATACTGTGATTAAATTATATTCCGTAATTTTTAGAAATCTATTACTATTTATTTTGATAAATACACGCACAAAATTAATTAAAGACTCTAATAGATTTTTTAAGAAAATTCCATGATTCCTTCATATAGAGTACCCTCCAAACCAAAATATCCGTTTCACACTTAGAAATCCTTGAGTGCATCGTTAAATCGTGTTCAGAAGGCATTTGAGAGCATTTAAATCCATCTAGGGATGTCAATTTTGAAGAAAATCGGCCAAAGTGTTTTGATGGTAGCGTTCAACACAGACAGACTGACATTTTGCCGTCAATCGATTTTCAATCAAGGTCCCACCCATCATGAATTCTGACAACTTGTTAGAGGAAGTAATTTTTCACATTTAGAAACACAAGTATCCACTTGTTACTTACCAAATATGATTAAAATACCTTCTCTTCTTATTAAAAAAGCGAGAAAATGAAAAAAAGGTTGCAAATTATGACATTGGAAAAGTATTACTTCAACGCATAATACAACTACGTAAAACTCGAAAACGATGCATCATAGGCCTTTAAAACCAGATTTGTTTATCCCAAGACACGAGTTTTTGAGGGATCTGTGTGTTTTGTGGTATTATATGTTTTGGGAGTATATGTGAGAGGACATGTAGGGAACATATGGGGGAAGTGGGGAACATATGGGGGAAATGGGGAACATGTGGGGGACAGGCGTTTTGCGTGTCTTGTTTCTTAATCAGTATTCTAGAAATATATATTGAACATTTATTTTGGTGAACTTCAGGTTGAGGTGTGTAACTACTCCCCATGAACTTCTTTCCCGGTGCCCGGGGTATTGCACGAGATAAAACTACGATTGCATCAAAAGTTCAATGTACATAATAAACATCAACAGATTTCGTTAAAAAAATTTGAATTATTTTTGTTTTATTGTGTGAATATTATGTTTATTATTAAAACAGCATATTCATAATCTTGCACTTTATTTGTTACTTTCAATTTAGGTGACATGGTACAACAGTGGATATCCATGGATACTTGTATAAAACCACTGAACATGACAAAACTGATACCTCCTCTTCAATGCAAGTAAGTAATCCGGGCTTCACAATCCAGGCCCCACCTCCTCCCCTCTTTCTTTCTCTTCCTATTTCTATTCTCTTTCTTATCCTTCTTCCTTCCTCCCCTTCCTCTCTCCCTCTCGGTCTCTGTCACTCTCTCTCTCTCTTTCTGTCTCTCTGTCTTCCTCTCTTTCTGCCTCTCTCTGTCTCTTTCTGTCTGTCTCGCTCTGTTTCTCTCTCTCTCTCTCTCTCTCTCTCTTTTGTCTCTCACTGTCTCTTTCCGTTTCTCTTCCACTATCTATCTTGTAGTAATGAAGGTACATGTTGTCTGGCCTTCATTATTTTGATCTATTTCATGTCCGTCCATATGATTTTTATTTACCGGTTACCTTCATCGTGGAATACACGAACTAGATGTGCAGTGTGAGAAATCTTCTGTAATCCATACGAAGTGATGATACCGGTAATAACGATACATCTGCTCAAAGGGATACTCTTCAGTTACCGATGTACCCAAACTTCCGCTACTTACTATTCATTGGTTCCGTAGGCATGTCATTGATTTTTTCGTGAAATATCTCAAACGTCAAATATTGAAGGAATTTTAGAATGAAGCTGCATAAGACTAACATCTGTATTCTTCGTACCAAATCATTTTGTCCTTTGGTTTCTAAAATCTTAGACCTGAGATTACTCCTTATTTTTTCTTTTTGACAATAAGTGCTTGACAACAATTTGCGTCTTGACAATTCTCTCTTCCTCAGTTTTCAGATATATTTTTTTCAGTTTTTGTCATATCTACATAAAAATATCTAAAGGAAGATAGTACACATGCTCTGTCAATATATTTTCTCTATTCTAGCGTTGCCACTATTAGGATCTTGACTAGTCTATAAATATTGAAGACTTTTTGAATTGTTTGTTCTCAGTTATTTGCGAAACTTAAAGATACACTTGTTTCAACCAAATATCTTTTCAAAGGTTCTATAGTTTAAATATGCAAGGAGAGGGCTTGAAGACTGAGGTCCCTCCCGAAACAAACAATTCTGCCACTCTTAAGGGTTCTTGGTTTTGTCATTGTTTGGGGCGAATGTTAAATAAGGTAACTTTACATTTAGATTCTAAATTATTATGTAATGTAATGATATCCAATTTTCCTTATTCTACAAAATTACAAGAGTCAACAAAATGTGTAATTTTTTCCTAAGATTTTCGTGATATACTATTACATGAAAATACCAATACATTAGTAGCTTGCACAAGCGAAAGTGCTGCATTCCAGTGTGTGCAAAATGGGGTTCTGGGACAGCAAACATTTTCTTCACTTAAACGGCATGTGTGAATAATTAAGCTCTTTTGTGCCTCGTCCCACGTCGTCGGCTGGGTCGTATGTACTGGTGCACTATGTAAGACCACTGATAAGTAAGACTAATAATCAAATATTTACATTTTTCTGTCAAAATCTTGTTTCATTGACTTTGTATTTTCCATCAAGTTCCTGGGTATCTAACGGAACCAGACACCCATCATATAGCCGGAGGAAGCATACTTCTCTTTCAATTTCTGCGCACTGTGAAAATTAATAATATGGGTGTCTTTATACTTTTCCCGAGTTCTTGGGTATTTAATATTTAGTCAATCAGACACCTCTCACATTGCCGGAGGCTACATTGTTTGCTTTCAATTTTTTTCCGCGCATTAGAAATGAGTAATAAAGATTAGTGGTCTGGAATAGCAAAAATGCTGCTCAACAATTTCGCACAAAATGGTTTTCAAACAAGTGGCATCCAGATTGCTCAAAACAACAAATAAAATATTGTCACATAGCACTGGAAAACAATAAATACTTTAACCAAAACTGTTCCTACAAATACTGCAATACCAGGTTAGGTGGCTCAGGGAATCAATTGATGTCCCTGCCTCTGACCGAGAGGTCCTAGAGTTCGAGTCCCGACGGGGGCAGCAGTTTGGTCACTAACTAGATAGCTAGGTCCATTCAGACGCTATCTGGAGAAAAAATCTAGCGATCGGCTGCTCTGTCCGGTATTTTTCCGTGGTTTCTCCGATAAACACCCCGCAAATGTTGAATCAGTACAACAAACAGGCCATGAACCGAACGCGTTTTTTCCTTCCACTTTCTTGTTCTATATTACCCCTTACTTACACAGACACACTTACATGCACTACACTACCACACATTCCGGGAAACCAGACGAGAGCTTAGAGCGAATTCCGGTTGGGGCGATGCCTGGCTGGTGGGAGAAACTTGGTTGGGCAAAACCAGCAAACCGCAGGGAAGGGCGGCGCCGGATCTCGCCATCCAGCGGGGGAAGATCACCGCCACCTACCGCGATAACATCACTCAGTACATTTACAGGACTAAGGACCTTAGTAGTTGACGCGCCCAGAATCACTAATCAACCAATCACACAATACTGCAAAATATAGTATAGTATTTACGAATATACAGTTCCACAGTTCTTTACTTAACAAGAATATCAATCTTGCGATGCTACAGCATCGCTTACTTTTTCGTATTATTTGTAACGGCTACGCAATATCATAATACATGAACAAGCAAAAGTTTTCTGCCAGAAAAAAAATGTCTCGCCCACATTGAGAATCGACCTTAGGTTCTTAGACTTGACACGTCCATCACGTTACCCCAACTCAATGAGATTTGTGTCTGAGCCCCATCATCCAAAATGAACATGTGCATTTGCAATTTGTAAAAATTTACAGATTTTCATTTGCATTACTTGAAGATCTACATTAAGAGAACAGACTTTATAAAGTAAAAACTCTTTATTATCTATATTTTAGTTTTGTAACGTTAATATTTTGAGTTTTTGAAAATACAGATAGCTTGGCGAAATGGGACTTGCGCAATTTTTTTAAGCGTCTAATGCTCTATCCGAAGAACACATTTAAAGTTGTTGGAGCCTTTTTTGAGAAAATAATTATTTACAATTACCTTTATTTCACGCAAAATTACGCGGAACAAATCATATTTTCGATAAACTGGACATGACCACCTGTCTTTGAAATCCAGATTTATTTAAGAAAAAATCTGTCTTCAGTATTGTAGTTGTAGAAAGACGCTGAAAACTTGAATATTTTCAATTTTCCAAAATTCAGATTTTTATCGAAAAGGGGACCTGCAACATTTTAAAACCTCCCTTACACATCCGGGCAAAAAGGTTAATAGAAAAATTTGAGCTATAAAAAAAATGAAAATGTAGTCGAGGTTCAAGTGCTCCCCCTAAAAAAATTGTTTCAAACTTGTTTGACCTAGAGTTCATTTCGATGAATCGGATAATATCAGTTTTGGAGAAAATCGTCTCATATGTTTAGGTGCTAGCGTTGTGCACAGATGGACAGACAGACGGGCGTTTTGTCATTAATCGATTTTTCGGTACCAAGGATACACAGAAGTGAATTTTGAGTGCACAACTTGTTAGAAGATAAAAAAGAAGATTAGAAATATTTTTTTACCTACAGGAATAATATTTAACTAGCGTTTTAGACCAAGGTCTCTTAAAAATAGATTTTCTGTTCAATAATCGCTAATTCCCGCCACAGCATTACAATACACTCGTTTTGCTACGTAAGTACGTAGAAAAAAGAATAGGTAGACAGCAAGTTGTGAAAGTAAAAAATTGTTGTTCTAACATGCAACACGTGAGTAGCAGGTATTTAAAGATGTTATGCCTCTTCTTTGGAGTCTTGCTTTTACAACACGTCAGCAGTAAGGTAAACAGTACTGCACTGAGTTCAAGGAACTCAAGAAAAAATTGAAAATAATTAAGTTTCAATTTTTGACTGAAAATGCATTTATATGTGTTATTGTCGCCCTGCGTGTTCCGGCCAAATTTCATATTCAGCACTTCCCTACCTATGACACATCATACGTCATGCGACAGCAAGGCTTCAAGGAAGAGTCCGACATTAAATATGTGGTATTCACGTGTTGCGTTATGGAACAAAGTTTTTTTAATATTCTTGGTAGGAGAAGAACTGTTGTAGAGTATATACAAGATATACTATATTGTCATTTAGACTGTTTTTGTTAAAATATTTGATGTATTGTTTTATGACAGGATTTTATTTGCTGTTCTTGAGCAGTGTGGGCTACTTTTTGGGAAACATTTTGTGTGGATTTGTTCAGAAGCATTTTTGCTGCTGCATTCCACTAGTGATACTCATACTAGTAGACCCAGCAATGCATAGCTTTTGCAATGTATTCGCCTTCATACGCTAGTGGCCAGGTTATTGTTAATCACGGTTTACGCTACGCTCTGCAAATATTTAATAGATGAAAGACTTTCTGGCGATGGGTTTGTTCTGTGTCCTTGTTTTGTCATGATTGTCAAGTATCCTATTGTTAAAACGTTTTCCGTCAAGTTTGGGCATGCATTCGCTGTCTTCACGTGCAATGACACTGTCTTGGAGAAATTTTATTTACTTGTCAGAGATAACGTTCAAGCAATAATTCATGCTGATATTTCACAATTGCAGTGGCAGACTATGCAGCGAAAACGCGCTTAATACTGGAGGGTGCGGCGGGTTGCGTAGAGCTTCTGTTCAGGGGCGCTTGAGCCAGCATAAACGCGTAAAATCACCGACAACTCGCATCTACATGCAGTAGACATACGCACACTCACATTGTACTATGCCTATATTTTTGTGCAAGTGCAATCAATAAGTTGACGAAGTTTCATCGCAATTGGATGAACGGTACGGCAACGCATAAAATACGAGCAAACAAACAAACAAACATTGATTTATATATATATATATATATATATATATATATATATATCATATGCCAACGTATATAATTAATTATTTTGTGAAAATCTACAGCCTTAGCTTTTTAAAATACATTATTTGCTTATAATGCAATATAACATCCAGCAGGAGCGGTGAATACTTCCTTAGGCTACAAATGAATTAACTCTACCCTGCGATGAATATGCGTTTTTCAAGCTCCCCTCTAAAGACAATTCTAGCTACAGTACCGATAAATATAAAAACGTCTTGTAACAGCTGACCACTTTTTCAAAGAAAAGTGGTTGTAAAGTAAATGTTAGCGCTTTTGTCGTCATGTACCGTGTAAATGAAAAATCTCAACATGCGTCAGTTATCATAATTGAATCTGTTCCAAATATTATATTCCAATTTTATCCAAATATTAGAATAATGGTCACCATTTCAACTGTTTTTTCGTGTTCTACATCAATCTCATCAACCTTTTTTACTATTTATCATTTCGTATGTGTTGCTATTACTTTTTAGTACTCTTTGTTTATAAATTGTATTTTAGAGTAATAGTAAGATATTAATTGGATATAATTGCTTAATATGTTTGCATCTTTATGTGATTGAGGTTAATATCTTAAATAGAAATAATATTTCAGGGAAACAACTGCCTACACACATTGCCTGGAGAAGTTCACCGACATGTCTAATTCAAGCACAATTGGATATGGACCCTTCGAGCAAACAGATCATCAAGAAGCTCTACTTCAAAATGGACTACCTTTCCTTAAACACATTGTATCTCACATCAAGCTGAACGTTTCTCGGGTATTCCAGAATGTACGTATTGATCACCGTTGACCAATTATACTCCAGATCGTAGGACTTTTAATTTCAATAACGTCACGTACATTTTGTCCATTAAATCGTATATAATATCTAGAGTAGTAAAGAATTATGATTATCTGATATTACTAATTATTCTAAATTTAGTATGTGAAATTCGAACGCTAGAAATAATAGTTTATTGTGACGTACTACATCAAAAGGAACAGTTATATGGAAATTGTTAAGATATGGTCATGGTTTGAGGAGTCTAAATGAATGTTGGTTCATTTGAAGGATCCGATAAAAACAAACCGAATTACAAAGCATGTGCCATGCAACACATGAACTCATTAGGTCCCATTTTTCCATAACACTATAACAAAACTATTGTGTATTGATGAGTAAGTTGAGTGTTATTGCAAGCACAGAGTTTTATGTTAATGAAATTTATTCTTCAAAGTTAGATATTTAAATAATGTCATAATAATAAAAATAATAATATTAATATTTGTAATAATATTGTATAATGGTGATGGTAATGATATACTGTTTCCTCTGTCACTTTCTAATTTGCTAGATAACCACTTTGGCAGCATTTAAAGAAAGTAGCCATTGTATTTTACTCGAAAATTCATGATAATGAGGTAAACATGCAAATTGTTACTTAATTACTTTATGTCCTTATTTCTTTGTAGTCAGTCAACTTATTCGCCACGATTTCATTACACGGATACATTTAAATTCTTAACTCAGATTCTCCATCGAAAGTGTAATGAAACTTGTGATGAAATAGTAGAAACTAAGTAGACTATATTGTTTGTCTGTAAACAAATGGGGGCCTAAAATGAATGAATGAATGAATGGATGGATGGATGGATGAATGAATGGATGAATGAATGGATGAATGAATGAATGGATGAATGAATGGATGAATGAATGGATGAATGAATGGATGAATGAATGAATGAATTAAACAAAATATAAGATAGCTTTCAAAAACAAAATTCTAACGGAACATTTTAGTGACCTTAAAGACTCTACACAGGCATCTACGAGAGATTCTTAGATATAATAACTCTTTTACCAGAAGGAATTTTTATCATCTCACACATATACACCTTTCATTGTGTTTCTTTTTCTAATTAAGATTCATCTTTACTCCTTGTTCACACAGGTTACATGCGGATGTGTCTTCGGTGCAGAACAGAAGAAGGTAATAAAGATTGGACATTCGAAATTGCGCTTCGCGGATGTGGCATGGTGTGCTCTCATGGCATTTGTTTTCTCGTGCATCTACGTGTTTATTCAGAAATGTCTCGATGGGTCCCTCAAACGCCGCTTACTGAAAGTTTACGACTACATGCTTGGGTCCATCTGGCACGCTGATGGCGGACATGTTTACATCCGTCGTAGGAACTCTTTTTCGGATAAGGGAGACACTGACGCAAATGAGCCTATTCCATTGCAACAGATAAACACGCCATGAATCAAGGGCTAACTTGGTATGTTCCCTTTTCCTTCTATCACGGTGTAAACAGTCACACCCACACTAATTGTTTTTCATATCATTGTCCTTTTATGATCTCAATTCTTGCTTTACTTACTGATTTATTCACGATATGTGTTCTCCAAATTCTTCTCTTCTCGAAATTAATGAAAGCATAAAACACCGGTTCAATCGCAAGCAAATACTATTTGGATTTTCTGACAGGCTCGTTATTTTTGCAATGTTAATGAACGAATTGCTGTCCACACCGTGGTGATTTCTGGATAGGCTCATTTGTAATTAAGTATTTCTACTAGAATAGTGAAAACAATATATAATTATGTTATTCATTACTCTACAAAAATAAAGCCCTCCGATACAAAATCTTTCAAGCCTGAAAGATAGCTTCCAAAATCCTAAAACCCTATCAAAATTAAAATTACTTATCTCCAAAATTTAGTCCTGAGTTATATACGAGTCGAATATTAAAAGATGTTTTAGCATTATTATGCACTATTAGATACATTATTTATCATTATATGAAATGCTTAGCATTGTAGAGATTTATTGTTTACTTCAATTTTCAACAATGGTTTCAGTCGCGGTGTGTTAACACGAATCATCATCATCATCATCATCCTCTTCTTCTTCTTTTTCTTCTTCTTTAAGCATTGGATCGCAGATCCGTTGTGAACTCATTGGTCATTCCATCCTGTTTTCTATTGTCCAACAGACCGATTTTCTTTAGGGTGGTTTGTGTGACTTCTTTTGGGGTTCTGGAATTATCCATTCTTTGTACGTGGTTTGCTCATGCGCTCTTGCATTTTTTTTAAAATTTAAATTAATTATCCCTAACTTATTTCTTACATTCTCATTTCTTATTCCGTGTTCTCTAGTAAAGCCCAATAATGACATCAATACTCTCATTTTAAAAGTCATTATTCACTACCCAGCTAATGTTATATAAAAGTAAAGGAAAGTATCTCTCTTCGCCTTGTTTTTAGGAGCTTTTTAGTCGTACCGCATATATGATTAAAACGCTCTATTTTCCTTTCTACATCAACTTTCCCTGAGTATGAAATGTCACAGCCTAGAAACCTAATAGCGTCGGGGCCTAAAACACAAGCAATCAAGTGTGATCAAACTAGGATAGTTGAAAAAGGTACAGCACAAGTAAGTGGAAGCAGTGCCACCACACTAGTGACCTTCATCACCAACTGGGCTTGGGACCGGCAGCGCCTGATATCGAACAAACTCCATCAGCCAAAGGCGGGTTAACACGGACGGGATCTTAATCAAATAATTTGAAATAGTGTATTTTGTTGGTGAAATAATTGGCTATTATATCATTGACTACAAAATAATTCTTAATGTGCAATGCATTATGCAAAATGTTTAATAATAATCAAATCTAATTTTCAATTTTATTTGATTTAGAACAGAAACCATAGTATTTTAATTAGAATAGTTTATCTCATATTATTTAAAAATTCTTGCATAAAGTCTCTTTGAATAACAGTTTTTACACTTTAATGATAAATTCGTTGTAGATATCTCCCACTCTATTTCTCCTGACAGATTTCTGAGAAGCATACGTAAGCTTCCGCGGCTCGATTCCATTCCACGTCGTTGGTTGAGAGGCCGACGTTTTGCCTGACAAGTCGCAGGCGAAACGTCGGCCTCTCAGCCATTGACGCGGCGTCTCTCGGGATAGCCAAAAATTTATAGATTTCTGAGAAGCCATTCCACAAAGTGGTGCTCATCTTCCACATTCACTGAAGCTATGCTTGATGCAGTGCCGTCATCAATAAATGTACATGATTCGAAGGAGTGAGGTCAGCTTTTAAAGTCATTTTCAGCGTATCCCTTATACGCGTGTTCACTTTTCAGTGAATATGGGTCTGGTGATAGCGCGTCTGAGGCAGATGTTAACTTTTATTTCTATAATCATTCCGTAACGATCCAGACCGATAATACGGATGACAATTTATTTTCTTGTCGAAACATAACACTGAGGTTAGGAAAGATCTTCCGGGGATATTTGAATGCAGGTCAGCTAGAAATGGATCGAGAACTATTAAGAATAGGCGTGCAATGGACCTAAGAATGTCGAAAGTTGTCAGTGGCATATGAACAGCCGAGTCCAAGTATCGATCAGTAGTGAGTAACTGGTAACATAAAACTAGTTTACAACTAATTCTTATCATATAAAATACTTAAATGAGGATAATCAACTAAATATTAATTTAAAACAAAAACATACATCGAGAGCAAAAAATATCATAAAAAAGCCAACGCAGAAGTACGTAATGAAATGTATTAACATATAAGTAACAGACTTTGTGGTTGTTCTGATCAATGTACAGGCAGCCCATAATGAGTCAATTCCATTGTCTCAGATCGCCTCAATTTATCTGACGCCTCTTCTTGGTCAATTTGGCAAGTTCCAGAAGTTTTCATAAGTTGAGGGAATAAGTTGATGATATGGCCTTGAGTACGCTTACGCTGTACGCATTGACTGTTTTGTAGACAGTAGAAAAATGTCTTTGAAAATATACATGTTTGTTGAATGTGTCATCGAATCTATTTAAGTAGTTGATCCATCGAATTCATGGATTTGCATACCACTGTTTAGAACTTCAGAAGTCTTGATGTAAATCTATTTTTGTTTCATATTTACAGCTATTGTGTAGACTTCGTTATATGTGTCGCAGTATGTTGAAACACGCTTGTTATAATGATTGCAAATGAATTTTAAATGAAGAGTAACAGTGTGAAATTATGTTTGAATGAATTGTAATATTTCAGAGTCTGTTTGCTGCGCCCTTTCATATTGTATATTATAATCACTATTGTAGACAATTATCTTAAATAAAATTTAAAATCCCATTGATTATTTTTCATTATCTATTATATTCATGTCATGAACCATGTCTTGTTCATTGTAATGTAATATATTTACCTAACCTATACCCAACCAATACAAAGGTCACAAATGTTAGCCTCAAAAACAATTGTCGTCTTTTGTGGTTTGCTCCGATTTGCCAATACTTGTATACATTTTTCCGTGACTCAGAATTAATGAAACACGTGTAAGAGTTTGGAAGCGAACTATTAGAAAGAGATTGGGCAATATTCAAACGCTCCTCGTGACGAAACGTGCTCGACTTACAGTAATAGCGATCTTCAAGGACTAATGTCAGGTAAAGCATATTACACTAATTCAATTGTCTAATAATGTACTATAATAATAAAACAGCGAATGGTAGATCTAGGGGAGTCATGCAGCCCATGGCAGCCCCAAAGTCAACATTTATTTTGTAATTTCATTCAATTTATTCAAAACAATTATAGCATATTCATCGTAATACATCCGAAAGAGTATTCTCTTTATGAGTGTACTTCTATTTATTTCCAACTCACTGTTTTTAGTATTTCAAAAATATTTATGATGAGTCCTACTGACATTGCCTTTCCCCTGAAATTCTTTATGGATCCGTCCCTGACAACAAAAAAGCGAAGTTCAGCAATATCGCTCATGCCCCGGTTTGCCAAAAGACACTGGATCAAAAGGATTGTAGATTAAGGTGCATTTTTTCGATTGATTGATGTTTCTGAGCGCGTCAACAGCTAACGACAGGAGTCCCGTAAGTGTAGTGCATGTGTTTATCGGTAGCGGTGATGTTGCCCCGCTAGACAGTGAGATCCGGCGCCGATCTATGTGTTGACTTGTAGGGTTTCTTCAATCAGGTATCTCTCACCAGCGAGGCACAGCCCCAGCCGGGACAAGCTCTAAGCTCCCGACTGGTATCCCGATATGGATGGTAGTGAAATGCATGTAAGTGTGTATAAGTAAGGGGTGAGGATAGGGTAAAGACGAGAAAGGAAAATATACCGCGCGGTCCGTGGCTGTTTGTTAGGGTACTGCTCCGGCATTCATCTGATGCGGAGCATCGGAGAAACCACATAAAACTACCAATCAGAGCAGCTGTCCGCTAGATTTATCCTCCAGGTAGCGGCAGATATCAACCTACCTATCTAGCTTGTGTCGAAAATCCTGTCACCGTCGGGACTCGGACCCCTAGGACTTGCCGGTCAGAGGTACTGCAGTGATATCAATTGTGCCCTGAGCCATCTAAGCCGGTCCATTTTTTTAATTAGGTTCGGGGAGGAATTAAGCAAAAACCAGGTTTACGATTGCTTGTAGTGGAGAGGAATTTCTCTCTCCTTACACACATATGCGCCACTCGATTGCACTCAAATCAGGAGATCAGTCGGATAAAGCATGTCTCGGCTGGAGAAGACACCTGGAGATGGAAACTCTGCACGGCACCGCATATCACGTTTCAGTGGGGGTTGGGGAAAAAGGGCGATTTCCTAGAATATAAATACTATACACATACGGAACTAATGACCGCAGCAGTTGATATGCCCGATCAGTCTACCAGACAACGCTTCGGCCATATTTCGTCTTCATCAGGAACGCAAAAAACATTATCACTATCTAACACAATTCTAGTACATATATTTTGATGATCCCATTATGTGAATAGAATATTAAAAAGGAATAAGGATAAGAAAAAGAATTTAGGTCGCGCGGACAGGTGGAGAAAGCGGGCAAACGCAGAGGTTTTGTTCGGATCCTTGACGAATTGGGCGCCGCGCAGCTGCCAGCATCTGACACCATTTTAACAATGATATAATTGTGCAGAAATATTAGAAAAAACATATTTCTTATATAACAAATAAGCTATGTAGTATGTGCACTCATTTGACCTAATACAGAACGATATGATAAACTTTTGTTTAAAATGTACAAATTTTTATATCACCTTCTGTTTCCTTTTCAGAATCAAAAGAGACATATGTAAAATCTCTACAATATACGACACTCAAACTTAAACCAATGTTTAAAATTCAAAAGTTAATGAGAAGAATATTTTAAAAAATAAAAATGGTTCATTTCTTCATACCAACAATTGCTTTAACACCTTTCGTTAATGGCTGATATATTCATTCCACTATTTTGCTTCAATGAAACATTAGTAATATTTTAATAATTTCAGATGATACTTTGTGGTAAGTAATCCATAATAAAGATGAATGAATAGAAGTTATCTATCACAATCAGTTCCAGCTAAAAGATTGTTGAAACAAGTCAATATTACACAAATTGACATAATTTTTCAGGATATACACTATTAAATCAAATGTTTTTATTCGCTTTGTCCAATTTCCTTTTGATATTACAGTAGTTTTTATCTCTAAACTTGTTAATATGCAAGAATCAGTTGTGTGAATTATCACTTGACATATTACCACGCACTTAAGAACAAATGATACGCTTTGAAATATTTTATTCTTTATTTTAAAATTTTACAGGCGTATATTAAGCGACCAACAAGGGCTAAGCAAGAACTCATGGACGCTTGAATGACTATCGTATTGAAAAGGATAGCGCAAGATGCAATGCAGCAATTGCACTTGCTCTGGTGAAACGGCAACGTCGCCGTATAGATGAGAGAACACGATTGTGGGCAATTGTGGTCGCAAATTAATTTTACTGAAGCGTTCTGTCAGAAAACAATTCGTGAAATTTTTGTTTTAACTGCTCTTTGAAATATATAGTACATTTGATGCACATAAAGAGTGAGTTTGTGAACCTAAATTTATCGTGGCCGAAGTAAACGTGCATCATTTTGTGTTAAATAATACTATTAATGTAAATATATCGAACCTAGAAAATGTGGTTCTTCGGATTTCGAAAAAATGATCGCAACATACGGCATGTTTTCTGAAAGAGAACTGCATTGTATGCAGGTAATAGCACTTTCCCAAGTGAATTGGCCGTATGAAATTTATCGTTATTCCTTTAAATGAAATTTCTGTAGAAAAGAGAATGATCTACTAAATTTATCACTAAAAGTTTTCAAGTTTTATTCTGTTTTTATTTCGTTTACTCATTTTTTGACTTTGAGATATGGAAGACAGACAGAAATCAGCTGATCGAGAATCAGCAGAGAAATGCACCTGATCGTCCTGTTCGGCAACAGCGCGTATGGAGTATTGCCAACGTAAAATTAAAATGATCTTTGTTTAGCACTGATTTGATTAAAAATGTAATTGTTGTATGACATTAAGAGCTTTTTAACGGAACCTTTCTTATAAATATAAAATTCTTTCACGTTCTACCTTGAATTCGAAGTGAAATATTTTAACAATGTGTTAGGATTTTGATTTATCTTCATAAATTCAAAAGCATAATATTTTTGGGTGATGTATTAGCCACGTCTTTGAGAGATATGTTCGTAACCGTACTTCGTTATCTTGTGTTAATTACACTTTCGCTAATCGATCTGGTGCAATGGCGAAATGCACTGATTGTAATGTGTTCACATACGTGGTTGGGAATGGTTACGGTTAGTGGTCCAAGCGTGATTAACTAGTCAAATGAATAATTAAGAAAATATTAGTGGGCACGGGAAAGTCCTAATAATTTGTAGAAATGGAAGAAATCATGAAAATAACGCAGAGTTTACTTTATTTTGGGTCCGAACAAAATACGTGTGTTATTGGTTGCAAAACTACTTAGCACCATATGATGGACATGTCTGAAAATCCGTAAAATTGCAACACCAAACTATTAGTTTATGTTCTTTGATAGTGAAGTGATAACTTAATGACAAAGAAAAAATGTGCAATTTATGGTGCTGTGGTCATAGGGGTTATAGTATTATAGAGGATGAATCGGTCCAGACAATTGAGGGAGAAGAAAGTTTTTTTTGTTATGGCTATAAATACAATAATATGAAGAGATTTTCATTTCATATATTTGCTCTTGTTTTTGGTGGAATTCCGTATTTGTTTTTGCATTGGTATCATCAATTGAAAGCTTATTCAATGTACAGCAGATGTGCTCTTTCTGAAGCAGATGTTGTACTTCTCAAGGTAAGTTTCTTGGTCTATTTTGTGAATTATTAATGTCATAATAAAATAGAAAATAAGTATTTTTTTAGGTCCTGTGAAATTAGTAGTTTGTGTTCATTTTGAAACTTACTTTAGCATTTACAGGGTGTGGCTGTTCAGCCATTTTTTTGTTGCATTCTTGGTTCCCTTATTAATTAATGAAACAAGGTTTAAATTATCCTAGTTTTAAAATGCAGATGTTATTTGGAAATCTAAAAGTACTTATAATGAATCTACCGCTACAAATTATGTTTTTTTCAATTCTACGTTGTATGTGTGCAAATTCTATATAAATTTTATTTCAGGATTTTCTAAACAATTACACATTGGAGAAAGTATCGGTATCAGCAGTCTCATCTCCAGAGAATGCATTTGCACATGTACGATTTTTTTGTAATCGTATGTTAAAATATGTGTGGGATGAAACATTCCAAGAATTTAGGTTACTCAAAGGTTTGGATAATGGAGAAACTAAGTTGAGCGATCTTCTAGATGGTGCTGAAGGTTTCACAACTGTGGAACAAACTCGCCTGTAAGTAAAACAATATTATGATTATTTTGGAAACTGAAATAATGGAAGTTGTGTAAAAATGAATTTTTATCAAAATTCAGATATTATTTAACTGCTGCACCTTGTCTATCAACTGACTTGAGAAGTTGTGACTCCCATAGCATATGAACTCTCTGATCCATTTCCTTCTTAGAAGAGTAGAATTAAAGCTTTGTCACTTTCCGCTTTATCTGGAGATAAGTTTAATTTTGCTATTTAAAATTGTTTTAAATTAGACTCAATATGCTATACCTGAAGCATCTGCCTCAGCCTCTCGTTGTGAAGCAGCATTAAACTTCTATATTTGTTTTCGAAAAAAGCATTAGCTGAACTAGCTGTTCAACGTCACTAGGTTGGTAAGAAAGGGATCAAAGCTATGCCAACGGTAAGATACTCCTCTGACAGCCAGCCCAAACAGCACTTAATGGGAAATATTCAGATTTCATTTTTAAAGCTGGGGAAATTTTATTTTCAACAAGATATTAGCCCTAAGGAATGAATAACATCGTAGAAATAGAGAAATCTTTTTATTTCTTCATGTTGGGAAAGTACTCAGCCAGGGATTTCATGAGGTTTGTTAAGTGGTCAGAAATGTTGTTTCCCTGACAGCCCTGCCTCTCCCTATCCTATTCTGTCTCACTCTACACCACTGCTTTACAATCCCTAGATTCATTATGAATTCCAGTGAACCAAATTTTGTTAATAAATAATAATTTTAAAAACTTTAGTAATGGAATTTTGAGATGAATGTATGAATATGGTGTTCGAGTATTCCAAGTTAAGATATTGATATAATAATAATAATAATAATAATAATAATAATAATAATAATAATAATAATAATAATAATATATTAATAATAATATATTTGTCACATAAATACAACATAAGTCATGTATCACAAGTCAGGACGTATAGATCATTACATGGAAATTGGAGTATTGATTGAAAAGTTTTTGCAGAATTTAAAACATTTTTTATAGGCTAAGAATGAGAACATTTCCAGAAACAGCAAAGTATTTTCACTCATCTAGAACCATCTCGGAACTTCCAACCCTCGAGATAATGAGTGCAACCAATTGTGAGTCCCCTGTCCATAAAATACTTTCATTGGTGAATGGATCATTGGAAATAATCCCTGCTCCCCTCTCAGTGGATTAGAGATCTTGGAACCAAATCTTGTGATGCATTTTCTTCTTTGCTGTTTGTACAATGACTGACAGCAAAATTATTGGTGCTGTGTAGTTTTATTGAATATAAGTTTGTAACATAATTTTAAAAAAATATCATGGGACCCTTAAAAGGCTTTTTTGGAATCAATGCAATTTATACTGCCATATTTCATAAATATTAGCGGAATGTGGCAGACGTTGTTTTGCTCGTCATCTCCCTCTTTCTCCTTTCGTCTCCCTTCCTCTCTGTCTCCCTCTCTCTCCGTTTCACTCTCTGTCTTTCTTTGTTTCTCTCTCTCTCCGTCTCTCTTCTCCCTCTCCATCTCTCTCCATTTCTCTTTCTTTGTCCCTGCCTCTGTCTGTCTCTCTCTGTCCCTCTCCCTGTCCCTGTCCCTCCCTTTCTCCTTGTCTCTCTGTGTCACACAGCAATGTGAAGAAACAATGAAGCCTGGATGCAGTGCAGTTTGAATGGAAATTGAATTGAAATGAAGCACATTTTTGTTCTGCAGCTCCATCTAGTGGATTTACTACAAAATTAACAGCACATAAACCTTTTGAGTGAAATAACATGTAAATGTGTCTATTTTCATGGATATTGGTCACTCAGTGTTGCTCATGTCTATTTTGATGTAAACAATTCCGTTTAACAGATTCCTTTTTATCTTCAACACCTTATCTCAATGATATATTGATGTAGCAATTGTTTTTGGAAAATTTCTATTATTTCAACTTATGTTAAATTTGCAACACATGTACATAAAAATGGTTTCAATGAAATGCAGTTCCTCTTAAGCAGTATAGTCTAAGATACTTAGAATATTCCACTTGTTAATAGGAATATTAATATTGTCTTAATTTGCTTTTATTCTTTTTTTTTTAAAGTTTGGAGTACTATGGACTGAACTCTATTGCCGTGGAAGTAAAATCTTACTCAAAACTCTTTGTTGATGAAGTATTGAATCCATTTTATATTTTTCAAATTTGGAGTGTTGTTCTTTGGTCTTTTGATGATTATTACTATTACGCAGGATGTGTAATGTTTCTGTGCATTCTGTCAATGAGCACATCCCTCTATCAAACAAGACGGGTGAGTAAACGCTAATTTTGTGAAAAATATAGAATGAAGCATATTATTACAAAATATAAACTTGTTGGCAACCCATCTCTTAGTAAAAATGAAATTACTTTCTTTAAAGTTTGCCATGTGTGAACATTTCAATTATATTTTGTATTAAATATAATTTTCCTTGTGTGTTTCAGCAAAGTATTGCATTAAGTGAACTTGTTGCTGCCTCTGCAACCCAAACTATTACTGTGTTAAGGAAAAATGGAAGTAAGTCTGCTTTTAATCTTGTTTTTAATAGTAAAAGGACTAATAATGTCTTTACATCATTACTCAAAAGTATCATACTTTATCTTTAAAGTTAATCTTCTGGATATTACTTGCCCACAGTTTCTTTGTGAAAAGAGGGAACTCCTTGTGGATTGTAGCTTGGTAATTTTATATACAGTAGGTGGCCAAATTATTAGGGACAATACACAAATTTGTGTAATTTCTAGTTTAAATTTTTTTTTTGTGCAAACAATTTTGTTTCAATAGGATTTATAGTATTACAGTTATTTCGCTTTGCTAATAAAGGTGTGGTGTAAGCCAGGAGTAACACATTTTCTCCTGGAATAACTACTCCCAGCATACGTCCAGAGTAAGCGAAGCATAGTTTCCAACTAATAATTGCAGAGTAACTGAAGAGTAACTACACAGGCTTTGCTCCACAAACAACATTGGACAACGTCTAAAATCCTGTGTCGACTTCTCAAATCAGATTTTCAATCGATAGTTATGTTTATGTGTTGATTGTACAGGGTATTGTTATAGTCTATTAATAAATCATCGCAAAGACATGTCTTTTCATCAGGTTTCAACGTCCAGCATCCGTCGTTTGGTGTAAATGGGGAGGTTAGAATTATGAATATATGGAGAAGGAGAAGACCTTCAAGGTCGAAAATGAAGCCAACCCCTTGCCATATATGTTAGGCAGTAGAGCTATTTGACCTAAAATCTGTCTTTCCGAACATGTTTTATATTTATTCATACATTGATGTTTTGCTAAGCAACGCATTGAAAATAAACTTGGTTTGAATAAATAGACAGAAGTATGAATGCAATAATGCAAAACAAACCTGGAAAGAATATTAGGCTTCCCAAGAATAAAAAGAAATAAAAATAAAAAGAAAAGCTTAAAAAAAAAATCAAAAACAATATTTTCAATGAATCTAATTAAATAAAGGGAAATTGTGAGTCTATTAGTCAACTGACATTTGGCAACATATTCTCAATAATTTGACATTCAAGGAAGCAGGTGAAACGAGCAAGTCATATAAAATCAATAACATGAAAGGACTTCCTGTTTATGTTCCACATTGGAAAGGAAAATAATTTTGGAAACAGTTTCATCTTTTTTGAAAAATTCAAACATTCTGTCAAGAAATGGAAATGAAATGCTTGAGTGAATCTAATTATAATATTTAATGTCAATTTTTTTAACTGAAGTATCAATAATTTTTTAAAATGGATCTAAGAAGAAAAAATTATCAGACATGATTAAAATGAAAACTGTTCTGTCTGTGGTTGTAGTGATATAATCACCAACAAAATTAAAAACAAGAGTGAGGCCAAAAATTTGGCTGCAAATTATTGCAGTTGTATTTACTAAATATTAAAGGAAATTGTAAATAAAAAATCTTTCAAACTTTGCATTGAAGCTATATATGATTTCAACATGAGCTCCCCTACTACATTAATAATTGTTAAAAATTCTGGTGAAAATATGCTGCCAAGAGCAGCTTCCTAAAAGTTGAATCCCATGCAGGATCGATGTCGACTGAAGATTATATTTGATGGAAAAAATAAGACAAAGTGCAACCTGATGCAGCTTAGTTTTCAATGTGACTGCGATCAAGAACATTAAAATTGTCGATCTAAAACTGTTTTTCACACCAAATTATTAAATTAAGAAACTCATTCCTATTTTTGGAGTATTATTGTGAAAGTGTTGCAGTAACTTGCCACATAGAATTAAAGAAAAACTGCTCAAGTGTGACTCTCTATCTAATGCCACATCAATCTGTACATATTTTTTAAAATTAATGATTTACTAATTCCAATTCTTTTTTTTAATGAAGACATATAACTAATATAATCATTTCTTACAGGTCTGAGGAACATGCAATTCAAAGATGGGACACATTTGAAATTGTTTTGTAATTTGAAATTTTATCTATGAGATAATAAATAATGCAAAACATTTTTTTTGAACAAATTATTCCCTTCATTTCAGTTTTTAAACTTTTGACTTTACTGTAGGTACCTATAATGCAAAATTATTATCAAGTGAAGTACCCCCAGAATTAAGTCTTATTTTGAAATTCAGAGGCTGCATCATCACCAAAATCTATATTAGTTTTGCTGAAAATCCTGTCATCTTCTGTCTCTTTCTTGATATTATTTTAAAATCATTTTATGTTCGCAGTTTTCAAAAATATTAGTAGTGTTTGCATAATTTTGAATTATATTTTAGAGTCAACATTAAGAATTCATTATAGCATCTGAAAGGTAGAGGTTCTGTTTTCGGGTTATATAGCAAAGTGATACACCTCTTGGCTTGTCATATATAGTACTCTAGTTCAATTCACAGCCTGGGTAGTTTTTTTGTTTCTTTAAATTTTTTGTGAGATTAGAGCAGAAAGCCATGTTCATTTAAACTTTCAAATTTTCAAACAAAAATTAAGGTTTGTATTTTTTGGAACCTCTGGGGCTTTGTTTGGTTAGGCATTTTTTATGTGATAGCAGGTTTAGTTCGATAGAAGTTGACAATATTATATTATTATGTAACCATTACTAACAATATGAGAAAGCATGTTACTGTTGTAGAACCTTCTAGTTTGTCGTTTAATTTATGTGTTGTGTTAATTCTTTTTATGGCTGATTTAGATAACAATTGTTGACTCGAGTAACATTCTTCTTCTGCTTAACCTGAAATTTGCAATGAATAGAAATTGTTCCATTTTGGAACATATCAATGTAGCTAGGATGTAATATTAGTCAAATGTTTTCAAATTGCATACGTTTGTCAGTTATAGTCAGATATAACATGCAATAAGGATATAATATGCAATCCAAATCAGAATGTCGCAGTTGAAAAAGGAAGAAGAACCATGTTTTTCGATTCAAATTGATTTCTTTTCTTATTAATAACATTTTTGTGTGACAAATTATAAAAATTGGCTCTAAATAGAAGAATGATTGTAAATAATGTGTAATAGTTTGATTTGAAATGGTTGAATATTCTGACTTAACAGAATGTTTTCTTGTGATTGTTGTGCATTTGATAATTAATTGAATGTAGTATAAGGTAAATATGTGGTGCATCTCTTCATCAAGTTTTCATGATTAGATCTCTTTTGCTCAATGGATTACTTTCATGTTTTGTATTAGTGTAATTAATGGTGATTATTAATTAGATGATGTGTTGATTATTAAATTATTGATTTCAGAGCAGGAAGAAGTGAATTCCACTCATGTAGTACCTGGTGATATTATTGTTCTTCCTTCACATGGCTGTATAATGGGATGTGATGCTGTGTTGCTCACTGGTAGTTGCATTGTCAACGAAAGCATGCTCACAGGTGATGAATTTTTTTAGTTACACTTGTAGCTAAGCATTTTTTATCTTTGTGTCGAGGAATTGCAAAGCAAAGTGTCTTTTTTATCTTTGAATTTGAGGGGGAATTGCTAAGCGAATATCTTAGTTTGTGTGTATTATTCTATTAATTGTCATTTTCATTGCACTACTTTTTATTTTAATCAGTGTTTCATGTCATGTACAATGTAGTGGACCATGGATGTCAAATTGTTGGAAAAGATGAATGGTGCTCTTGCTTTTCTTTTCCTCTCATGATGCCTATTGATAACGGTGGATCTGTGTGGTATTGTCTCAGTGTTAAAACAGTGCAATCATTGGGAAAAAAATTGCTAGTATTAATTTCATTATTTATAGTTTGCTTTATATTGTTTTGAACATACTTTTTCTTTTATACAGCTACATGAAAACCTAAATGGTACTTCAATTCTTAATGACATCATTACTGCTGTATCTTCTTAGGTGTATATAATTAGGGCACATTGCATCACTGATGGTTTTTGTGCAAGAAATCTAGTAGAGAAAATATGGAGATTTTTTACCACATTATCTCATTTTTCTTTCTTGCGGATATAAAGTTATAATAATGTTGAAATTTCTCTTCAATTGTAATAATGAATTTAATTAATCTAGAAGTATTGAGGAGTTCATCATACACAATAATAAGTGGATGTGACTATTATGTTAATTTCAAATTATAATTTACAATAGCACTTGCGCTTTGTAAATAGCAACATCCATTAACTATTGTGTATGATTATCCCCTGAAGACCTCAAGATTAAGAATAATTCTTTATTAAAACTATATTTAGGGCTTGTATGATGGATTAATCAGGGGGCGGTGAGGGCATTGCTCCACAAACATATCTAATTAGATGTTGACTTTATCCTGAAATCTCCCAATTTCGAAGTTTGCCTTGTGTCTTCATTGGCAATCTTAAGAATCATAAAAACACTTCTTTTCCACTTTGGTTTTCTTGTAATATGTCTGAAAGTTACTGGACCTCAATCAAGTATTATTAATCAGAGATTACACCACTTCCTGACATATTAATTTGTTTTTTCTATTATATCATGTTTCAATTTTGCCTAAAAATTAAATTATTTCGTTACAACAAACACTATTAATATAATGAAAATTAGTAGTTATATATAACTGATAAATTAATAATATAAATAAAATTAAAACTAATAAATAAATGTTTCTTGTTATGAAGTATATTTTTCAAACAATTCAACCTGGTAACGAATTTCCTTACACAAATGCAATTCTTCGAGCTGCGGGGGTCTCTTTTAATTCAAGGAGTTATGCTACTAAGCAAGAAGAATTAAGAAGAGGGAAAATCATGTTATTTAGGTAATGGCTCAAAAGGTAGATTAGTGGGAAAGTTTTTCACAGTTGAAGTCCTTCCAATAGGATGAAAAGTTTTGAGTAACTTCAATATCAATATGGAACAATAAGTTACTCAGCTACGAGTGAAGCTGATGAAAGTGTCAGTATCATTTGGACAATGAATCAAATTAAACAACCTTTTATGTTCACAACCTTTTGAATGACTGCACTTATGCTTGCATAACATCATTTACTCGTTGATGAGAATTATTCGCAAGGCCAATGAATATGCTGACGCCTACTCGGAACTACTTTATTTGTATCCTGTAACAAGCTAAGCTCAATGGATATGTAAAAATTAAAATTAGAAATAAACGAAAAAAATAATGTCGATAATATTGATAAATCAGGAATGTATGGAGAAACATTGTGTAAAAATTCTGTTACATTAATGTGATCTATTGATGAGACTGGTTAAACAAGTATGTTTGTGAGCTGAGATTAATTTCATTTGGATTTCTCATGTTTGTCGTACATAATTATCCAATCACGGTAATTTTTTAGGGTTTCGTAAAATTCATTTTTCTCAATAAACCATTCTCATTTCTCAAAAATATTTTATTTCAAGTTGATTTTAGTTCAGAATTGAGAAAGTGTGCAAAACAATCTGAAGTTACAGAATTAACTAAAATTAGAACTAGGAATGTGGATGAATATGTTATCTTCAAGAATCCTCTGATATCAACAGGATGTTTTTTTCATTATTTACTTTGGAAGTTGTGAAAAACAGGATAATGAAGGAAACTTTATTAAATTGCTACTGTGTTACTATTCTCTTTCATCAGAAAATATTTTGTAGACTGCTTTGTTCAGTGTCATTTAGGATTCAATTTATTGTTACAGAAAATGAAATCATTATTCAAGACCTTCATGCTCTTGAAGTGACCTACATACATTTTAAAGTCTTCGATCTGAAAAGAAAAAATTAGCTTTAAAATGACCTTTTTATATTTTAAGAAAAGTATTGAGATGAATAGTGCCGACATCAGCAATTCATTTTTATGTAGATATGACCCATGATTAATAGGTATTATATTCTATTAGCTTAAGAAACCCGTCATTGTTCAGGTATTTATTACAATCATCTAATAGATAGTTGGTATTGCCTGGATTTTGTGTAAAGATTCTTCACACTCCTTGCCTGCCTTGGCCTGTTCTCCATCTACTCCTCTCACCCACCCACCCCTTTTTCCCCACCCTGCCTTTCCCCACTCCTTGCCCTGCCTTCCTCCATATTACCTTGCGTACTTCTTTCACTTTCTAACTAAAATGATTAAGACATCTGTACTGAAAGAAAAAACACATCTTTGCTCTCATGTCTATGCTTTTTGTGGGGTTTTACATATTATATTAATTCAATAAAATGCACCTCTCAAAATCATCCAATCTGTGAGAGTTTTAGCATTAACATGTAGAACATTCGTAATATTTCACATGTGGCTGTGCAATCCACAATACAAACAAAAGAAATCATACTTAATTTATTACAACTTAAATCAAGAAATATTTCATACAGAATCAGAATAAAAGTAACTTTTGTCCATTAATTTCATATCTCCTGTACACATTGTACATTCAAATAGAAACATGTAAAAGAAATTATACTTCTTTAGACAATGTTCCCTCTTATCTGGGTTATCTTGTTTCATATTTTGATTTTAATCAATCTCAGGTTAGAATGGAAATACTTGTATGTTCAAAAGAATCTGTGTAATAATTTTTTTAAAATACATTTTGGGTTTACATTTTGTATTGTAACTATGCTATTTTTGATCCTTGGTCACTCTAGTGGTATTTGTGTTTAATTTGGGAGCAATCACTGTAGTGGTATTAATTTTTTTATGACACATACCATTGTAAACAATTTTACTTTAATTCAATAGATATTACACACACACACACACAAATTGCACAATCAATTTTTAATACCGAAAATAGAAATGATTAAAATGGTAAACTTACATTTTCGTCCATAAGAGTTATTTTAGGATGATTAGAATACCCTTACATTAGTCTACCTAGTTCCTAAATTTCTCTTGAGTTTATCCCAAGTTATAGACATGTAAAGTAAATTTTCATATCCTTTACATGTTTAGCATATTGAGGTGTGAAATTCAAATGCAGTCTCTCAGGTCTTTTACAGGAAATTTTCTTGAACACTAAAACACTTGTGTGCAATGTTACAACTGTTTTCACACTGAGAAATACTTCATGGATCTTTGAATACTTTATAATGTAATTTTGGTATATTTTAATTCTGTTTCTTTAAAGGAATTGTGTTAGTTTTAAAGCTGTTATTTTGGAACATAAACATTGTGGCGTTTAAATTGGCAAACATGGAAAGCGATCAATTATAATTGGCTCTAATTCAACTTCTATATATTAGAGTAGAAAACAATTGCATCATTGTTTTCTGAATTCAAAGGTAGAAAAAGAAATGAATATCACTTAATTTTCCAACATTTAATTGTACTTATATCATAGTCTTCATTTAGTTTAGGCAATCTCATTTACAAATTATCAACTATTAAAAGAATTATGAAGTTTTATTGGCTCATTGTTGCCTTTGTGTTTGCATAAAACTTGTCTGTAGAATTTGACTAGAAATGTGTAATTATCCCTTTCCTGTGATACAAATATACTTACCAGTTCCAAATTTTTTTTACCATTTTCGTTCTTTCTTTTGAGATTATCTTGTTTTTACAATAGGTTATTTGTATGACCGGATAAAATTGGTGTAGAAGGAAATTGTTTCGCTGAAGAACTGTTTGAGTTTTTATAAATAGTGACATCTGTCATCATGTTACTATTAATATGGTTTATGACCATTTTTCAATAAGGTGTTGTCCATAATTACTTAACGCCTAAAGAGGAGGGGAGGGGGTTTGAGGTAGTGTTACACTGTGTTACTTGAGTGTAAGGGGCGTTAGTTTAGTGTTATGTAGTATTTATGTTTTTTAAACTTTTCCACCATTTGCTGAAAAAATTACTTTTTTCTGTCATATACCAAAATATTAACTAATTGCTTTAAAAAATATACATAAATTAAAATTATTTTGTGTAAATATGTTACAGTAAATGGAAGTATTTTTTTCATCACTTTTATTGAATCAGTAAGATTACGAATAAAACATTCAAAACTGATCTATAGTATATTATTGAATCCAGTTAAACTAGTGCAGTAGACTGTTACTCATACATTATTTCAGATTTTGTGTGCACGGCTTGTTGTCAGAAGTGTTCACGTGTGTGCATCCTTTCTTCACACAATACTTGTTCCCAATTTTATTATTAGGTGTAGTCAGCATTGCCAATTAATTCTGAGTTTAATTACCACACATTTTTAAATAAAATACAAATAAAAATTATGCAAATTGCTTTTTACTGTAATATTATTTATTTTTACTTAGTGAAAATAGAAGGAGAGGGGCACAAGTGTCACCTAATTATTTAGGTGGGGGTTCAAACATGCATTACAGATGTGTTACAGGAGGGGGTATTCAAAATATTCCAAATTTGTGCTACGTAATTTATGGATGGCCCCTCATGGCAACATGTTATTTCTGTTATGTGCATTGTGCATTAGTCTTCATTCCTCAGTGTTAATGACATTTGTATTACGAGGTAAAGTAATGTTGTTTCTGTAGTTTCTTGGTTCAAAAATACTAATGTTTGAATGAAATACAATTTTTGCAATTTTTATGTTTTGGAATCCATTAATATAGAGCAACCATGGAATATCATATTATAAATTCAACAGAACTTCAAGAAATTGACCCAACAATGCTGTAATAGTTTAAAAATAAAATAAAGAAAAGATTTGTAAAGGGGATG